GATGAGGAGCATGAGGATGAGGATGATAAGGTTGATGATGGCCACGATAAACTAAGGCAGCACAGTCACATGATATAGTCAGGGTGGGCTGCGAGGATGAAGTTGATCATGAGGAGAGGGATATGGATGATGGTACTGACGATGGGCATGACGATGACTAGGAGGATGACGAGGCGAAGGCGGATGACGAGGCGCAGGAGGATGACGAGGCGGACGATAATGACGAGGAAGATGATGATGATGATGATGATGATGATGATGATGATGATGATGATGATGATGATGATGATGCTGATGCTGATAGTAATGATGATGATGATGATGATGATGATGATGATGATGCAGTTGATGATGATGATGAGGCTGATGTTGATGACGCTGATGATGCTGATGATGCTAATGATGATGATGCTGATGATGATGATGCTGATGATGACGCTGCTGCTGATGATGTTGATGATGACGATGGTGAAGATGATGATGACGATGATGACGTTGATGATGATGATGATGATGATGATGATGATGATGATGATGATCACGATGATGATGATCACGATGACGATGCTGATGATGATGATTATGATGATGCTGATGATGATGCTGATGATGATGCTGATGCTGATGATGATGATGCTTATGATGATGTTGATCATGCTGCTGCTGATGATGATGATGACGATGATGATGGTGATGCTGATGATGATGATGATGCAAATGATGATGCTGGCGACGATGATGATGACGATGATGATGATGATGATGATGGTGCATATGATGATGATGATGATGATGATGATGATGATGATGATGATGATGATGATGATGATGATGATAATGATGACGAGGATGATGACGACGATGCTGATGATGATGATGATGCTGACGATGATGATGATGATGATGCTGATGATGATGATGCTGATGATGATGCTGATGCTGATGCTGATGCTGATACTGATGATGATGATGATGATGATGATGATGCTGATGCTGATGCTGATGATGCTGATTTTGATGATGCTGAGGATGATGATGATGATGATGATGATGATGATGATGATGATGATGATGATGCTGATGCTGATGCTGATGATGCTGATGATGCTGGCGATGACGATGATGATGATGAGGATGATGATGATGACGATGATGATGATGATGCTGATGATGATGATGATGATGATGATGATGCTGATGCTGATGCTGATGCTGCTGATGATGATGATGATGATGATGATGATGATGATGCTGATGCTGATGATGCTGATGATGATGCTGATGATATGATGATAATGATGATGATGATGATGATGATGATGATGATGATGATGATGATGATGATGATGTTGCTGCTGATGATGATGATGATGATGATGATGATGATGATGATGATGATGCTGATGAGGATGAGGATGATGATGATGATGATGCTGATGCTGATGATGATGATGATGATGATGATGGTGATGATTGATGATGATGGTGGTGGTGTGGTGGTGGTGGTGGTGTGATGATGATGATGATGTGATGATGATGATGATGATGATGATGATGATGAGAAGGAGGAGGGGAGGAGGAGGAGGAGGAGGAGGAGGAGGAGAGGAGGAGGAGGAGGAGGATGGGTGGAGGAGGGGGGGGGGGGAGCAGGAGGAGGAGGAGGAGGAGATGGAGGTGGAGGAGGAGGAGGAGGGAGGAGGAGGAGGAGGAGGAGGAGGAGGAGGAGGAGGTAGGAGGAGGAGGAGGAGGAGGAGGAGGAGGAGGAGGAGGAGGAGGAGGAGGAGGAGGAGGAGGAGGAGGAGGAGGAGGAGGAGGAGGAGGAGGAGGAGGAGGATGAGGAGGAGGAGGAGGAGGAGGAGGAGGAGGAGGAGGAGGAGGAGGAGGAGCGGGAGGAGGCGGATGAGGAGGGAGCAGGACGTGGCGGGAAAGGGGTACGCGCAAGATGACGTGGCTGTGTAGGAGCGGAAGGCGGGCTCCGCGAGACACCGCTGCAGCGCTGGGCGGACCCGCGTCGCTGCCGCGGCAGGAGAAAGACCTGCTGTACATCGTCATGGAGTACGCCGACGGCGTGCCCGCCCCACGTCCGCGATCCGCGCGCCCCTTCGCTTCACCTCGCTGACGTGGGCGACGCCCGCCTGATTGATTCAAGTGGCATACGCCGTGCCGCTCCAAGCAGCGCGGACGTGTTCGGACGTGTTTGGCGGTTCTTGGCGGTTATCCAGCTCTGGGGTGCTTCCCAGCAGCTGCGCCTCGCCGAATGCGTTCGGGGGGTGCCCCGCATTGGCCTGAGCGGCCGCTGGAGGCCACAGGTGTGCCCCACAGCCAGGCCTCCTCTCCCTGCGCAGTTTCCATGCCGTGCGAGCCTAAGCAGATCATGCCAGAATTTTTCAATCAAGGAGGCTTGCGCCTTTCCGCCGACTCTAGGAAGAGGCGTAGAGTCCACGGGTGAAGCGTCGTTAGGTTCTTGGCCACTATCTTGGGACTCTCGTGGGCGTCTTCGGAGCTGTTTGGGTGCCTAGTGCCCAGTGGAGCCTCTTGGAGGCAGTCTTGAAACGTCGTGGGGGTCGTTTTGGGGCCTCTTCTGGGCCTCTTGGGGGCCTCTTGAAGCTCGTTGAGGTCTCCTTTGGACCGCTTGGGGGCATCTTGGGGCCTTTGGGGGCCTCTCGGGGCGGAAAAGTATGATTTGCGGTTCGTGTTCTCCCTCTTGCGGCTTTCTTGGGGCGATCTTTAGCTGCCTTGCGCCCCTCTTTGGGCCGTCTTGGAACTCTCTTGGACCGTCCTGGGACCCTCGTAGGGGCCTCTTGGGGAGTTTTTGGGCAGTCTACGGAGCCTCTTGGGCCGTCTTGGAGCGTCGGAAGTTCGAGAAGACGAAGACCCTAGAAACATCCGAAAAACCTGAGGAGGACCATTGAATTTTCCTCTCGGAGTCCTCGTGGCTCTTGGGCCTCTCTTGGGGCGTCTCGAAGGCGTCTTCGGGCGTCTTGGAGCCATCGCATGCGTCTTGGGCCAATCGTTTGGCGATTCGGCACCGTCTTGGAACGTCTTTGAGAGGCCACGAAAGGCAGCTCTGGAAGCTCCCGAGTCTCCAGGGGTGCTCCAGGGAGCCCGGACTTTCACTTTAGGAGCCCAGATTGCCCCTCTTAGAAAAAATGAGATTTTGGATTCTGAGGGGAGGGGGAAATCGGGCGGGGCTAGGACGAGGATAAATCCGTTCCAGAGCGTTCCGGAATGCTCTCAGAGCGTTCGGGAACACTCTGAGAAGGCCGCAGCGCCCGAGACATCCTCCAGAGCCGCCAGATCTCAGAGATTCTCGATGTATCCTCGCCCGACATTGTCCTCGTCCTGGCTTCGTCTCAGGAGGGGGGACAGCCAATCATTTCACACGCCTGCTCACCCCGAGCAGGCGGGGGTCGGCGTATTCAGGCTCGCAGCTGCTCCTGCGAGTCCGAAGCCTCAGCGCTCCTTCAGCCTCACCGCTTCCACCCATCCCGCCTCACATCTCCATCTCCATCTTCATCCCTTCTCCACCTCCCACCGCTTCTCCTTCCTCCCATCTCCATCCACCCTCCTTCCCCTCTCCCTCCTCCCTTTTCTCTTCCTTCCTCCTCCCTTTTCTCCCTCCCTTCTCCCTCCTTCCTCTCTCCCTCCTCCCTTCTCCCTCCTTCCTCCTCCCTTTTCTTCTCCCCATTCCTGATTCCTGACGGCTGCAAGGTTCGTCGAACGTAGCCTCCCCCCCCCAGGGCCGGTCGGCCCTGCGGGGGTTGATCCAGTCAGTGCCAGGTGGCCCCTGGAGCAACGCTCCAGGCGTTACCGGAAGGTATTTGTAAGAGACAAAACGGTCTCCTCCTCCTCCTGCTCCTCCTCCTGGCATCCTGCCATTTGGGCCTTCAGTGGACCCGTGTGGGGCCACGAAGCGTGTGAGGTCTGTGCCGAACTGGGCGGGGGGACGTCCGAAACGTGTGAGGGCTGTGCCGACTTGGGCTAGGCGTCGACATGCAAACCCTGCCATTTGGGTCTTCGGTGGAATTCTTTTCGAGGGCACGAAGCGTGTAAGGGGTGTGCCGAAATTGGCGGGGCGGCGCCATGCGACCGCGGTCACTGGGGCCTTCGGTGGAGCTCCCCAGGGGGGCACGACTCCTAGGACGGGTGTGTCGAAATATACCAGGCGGCGCCATGTGCACTCTGCCATTTGGGCCTTCGGCGGAGCTCCCTATGGGGCCACGAGGCGAGTATGGAGTGTGCCGAATTCGGCGAGGGGGCGCCGTGTATACACCGCTGCTGGGTTCAGGATAGGCCTGGCCAGGGAGCAGTGGACATGCATAGATTTTGTCGCCTTATTGGCAGCGCTGCCCCGGGGTGCGGCGCGTGCTCGGTGCTGGTTGCTTTTCCTCGGGCTTCCTCGGGGACGCACACGCCAGAGCGAGCGCGCACCAGTCCACACTCCCGCCGCGGCGCCGCGCCAGGGACTCGGAGAGTCCCGCCCCCGAGCCCCTGCGCGGCCCACATGCCCCCCGACCAGGTCGGGTGCGGGGCTCCGCCCGCGCGCGCGCCTCCCGCCCGCAAGGCGGAAGGGGGCTCCGGTTCCCATACCGCTGCTTACCAGGCCATCCCAACCCAACCCCCTCCGAATTTCGGGTTGGGGGCTGTACGGGTCCCCTCGTGTGTTCTCGATGTGCTGCAGCGTCCCTCCTCTGGAAATGGACAGGCCCAACGGCGACTTTTGATTTGGTAGGGGTGGCTTGGTGGGTGGTCACACCGCACGACGTTGCGCCAGCACTGGCCCTCGGGTCACGGGCCAGAGGGTGGGAGCCGGCGGGGCCCGCCGACTCGTCCGACCTGGTCAGGCCCGACGCCTCCTGCCGCTGCTCCTCCTGCCTCCCTGCCGCTGCCGCTCCCGCTTCTCGCCGCCGTGCACGCCGCAGCCGTGAACGCACCGCCGCCCGCCGCCCTCCCGGCGAGGCGGGGACCTCAGCCGCCAGATCCAGTCGAGGCGCAGCGAGGACCGCCGCCGCACGCGTCCAGCCCGCGCGGGGGCACGGAGGCGGAGGGGGGGAGGGGCGAGGAGAGAGGGCAGCATGATGATGATGATGATGATGATGATGATGATGATGATGATGATGATGATGATGATGATGATGATGATGATGATGATGATGATGATGATGATGATGATGATGATGATGATGATGATGATGATGATGATGATGATGATGATGATGATGATGATGATGATGATGATGATGATGATGATGATGATGATGATGATGATGATGATGATGATGATGATGATGATGATGATGCTGATGCTGATGCTGATGATGATGATGATGAGGATGATGATGATGATGATGATGATGATGCTGATTGATGATGATGATGATGATGATGATGATGATGATGATCTGATGATGATGATGATGATGATGTGATGATGATGATGATGACGATGATGATGAGATGATGATGATATGATGATGATGATGACGATGATGCTGATGCTGATGCTGATGAGGAGGATGAGGATGAGGATGAGGATGATGACTGATGATGATGATGATGATGATGCTGATGATGATGAGGATGAGGATGAGGGATGAGGATGATGACGATGATGATGAGGATGATGATGATATGATGATGAATGATGATGATGATGATGATGATGCTGATGCTGATGAGGATGAGGATGAGGATGAGATGAGGATGATGACGATGATGATGATGATGATGATGATGATGGGTGGTGGTGGTGGTGATGATGATGATGATGATGATGATGATGATGGTGGTGGTGGTGGTGGTGGTGGTGGTGATGATGATGATGATGATGATGATGATGATGATGATGATGATGATGAGGAGGAGGAGGAGGAGGAGGAGGAGGAGGAGGACAAGGAGGAGGAGGAGGAGGAGGACAAGGAGGAGGAGGACAAGGAGGAGGAGGAGGAGGAGGAGGAGGAGGAGGAGGAGGAGGAGCTTCACCCCAACACGTTTGCGGCTGTGCCGCTAAGTGCGTAATGGGATGAGCGACATACCTATCTACCCAGACACATGTTTTTTTTGATATATCGAACCGTGGCCAAGCGGCATATCGTTGCGCGTCCACTGCTCGTTAGTCCTTTTTGGTCTTACTGGCCACGTTTTCAGTAGGGAATGGGGGGCAAGAGGGGGCGCAGACAGAGTGGGACTTTTTGCTTAATAGAGTTATGAAGGGGCTCAGTTCGTGAGTCTCTGGCCAGGGTGGATGGTTGGAGTCGTGTAGCGCGCTCCATAACTGTGGCCCATACGGGCCCCAGACTGCACTGTGGAGAACATGACGTTCCCTTCCGTCAATTCGTTTTCGCTCCATCTCTCCTTCTCTCTCTCTCTCTGCCTTCCTGCCCCGCCTCCCTGTCCACCTCCCCCCCCGGGTCCCCGTGCGCTCCCGCGCCCTGTCAGGACGTTCCCTGGAGAGGCCCAGGTGCTGTCGAAGACCTCTCACGGGGCCGGCTCGGGGGCCCGCGGAGCCCCACCGGGTGTGCGAAGAGGGCCCTGGCGACGCGGAGTACAGTGGAGACCCATGCCAAGAAGCACCCTGCTTGCCTGCAGGGTGCCCTGGGTTTCTTGGGTCTCGATGGTTTTGCGATGGACAGCCTGACGTTCCCACGCCAAACATCAGTGGACGTCCTGGGGTCTCAGGGTTGGGTTTCTTGTGGAAGGTTTCTTGTTGACTGGCCTCCAGTGTAATCGCAACGACGGTTTTTTTTCTCCGAAGTCGGCTTCCAGAGATTGTTTTCAGGACCCGGGTCAGTCAACGTATCATAATTCGGGACGAAAGTTTGGCCACGGGAAGGGGTCGATATCGACCCCGTTGACCTGAGCGGATTCGCAGTGATTTATGATGCCGTTTTCTTGAAAGCTGATGTGAGAGGCTATTTCCAAACCTTTAGTTCCTTCGATCGGAATTCGCGTGCCAGTGCGATGGCGCATTAGGCTCAATCGTCACGCACGTCCACACATAGACCGTGGCAGTCGCGTCGGATTTCGCGCGCGATGATTGGATCCAGACCCCACGCCATGCCGGAAAGTCGACTGGTGCCTACCTCTGCGAGCCCTGAGACGTCGCTGCCTCGCAAGTTCTAATGGGGTCCCAAGCAGTTCCTGATAAGGCCGTTCGTTTGTGATTGAAGCAGCCTTACGGCTTGGTGCCACCTACTGGAAATCTATGTTTGACCACGTTGGCTACAACTCACGGCCAGAGAACACGAACATGTCGAACCCAATTTGTTCAACAATCGACCCATCATCGGTGAAATATTTCTCGTGGGCGTGTTTTGGGAGTCCTGTTGGGTTTGGGCGGGTCTTGGTGGGTGCTGGGGAGCTTTGGCCGAGTACTGGTCGAAGAGGTCGTCAACGCGGTCGCAGGGCGGGTCTTCAGATATGGCTCGGTGGGCGTCGCGCATTGCCTGCCCGCGCGGGCGCCAGTCGTTCGCTCCAGCTGGCGAAGCCGCAGTCGTCTCCGTGGTCGTCGCGGTCGTGGTCGCGGTCGTGGCCGCGGTCGTTCTCGAGGTCTTCGAGTTTGACGGCCTCAGTGTTTCGAGGCCTGGGGACCGCGGCGTTTTCGGTTTTTGGGGCTGACGACCTGGGAGCCTGAAGAGACCACCCCCTACAAGGGCCCACGGCGCATCACGAGAGCTAAGAGGAGGCCCCAAGATCGCTATGCCATACCATTGGCCTGGATGTTCGTTGGGATCTCGTGGGAGGTTTCTCGGGGGCCTCTTGGAGTCAGTTTGGACGCCTCTTGGGGGCCGTTTGGGGCCTCCTGGGGCTTCTTTTGGGCCTTTCTGGGGCCTCATGGGGGCCTCTTGGGGACCTCCTGGGCGCCTCTTGGGGGCCTCTTCTGGGCTTCTTGGGGCGGAAGGTTCGGATTTTTCGGTTTGTGCTTCCTATTTTGGGCTCCTTTGGGGCCGTCTTGGGGCCCTCTTGGGCTGTTTTGTGCGCCTCTTGGCCTGTCTTGGGGCCCTCTTGGGCCGTTTTGGGGCCCTCTTGGAGGCCTCTTGGGGGGTCTTGGGGCGGTCTTGGAGGCCTCTAGGGCCGTCTGCGAGCGCCAGAAGCCGAAATGGCGACAACGCGAAAGTCATCCCAAAAAGGACATTTTGGGCATCTTGGCCGCCTCTTGAGCCGTCTGGGGGGGCATCTTTGGCGTCTTGGGTCGATCTTTCGGCGACTCTTGCGGCCCTCTTGGGCCGTCTTGGAGGCCTCTTGAGATCCTCTGGGCTCCTCCTGGGGCCCTCCTGGGCCCGAGAAAGCCGCGCGAGAAGACGCGGCAAGCCCCGGGGGGCACGCGCCAAGCCCAGGCCCAAGGCCCCAGGGGCGCACGCGCCAAGCCCAAGGCCCAATGGGGCGCACGCGCCAAGCCCAGGCACGTTGGGCTCCAGTCCCATTACGCACTCCTCAGGAGTGCGGATGTGCCTCCCCAGAAAAAATACGTGCGACAAGCAAGTCTCCAGTTGGGGACATATCAGTTGTCACACTGGTAAGAACATATACTCCAGTTGGGGACATATCAGTTGTCACACTGATAAGAACATATACTACACTTGATCATAGCCAAAAGTCGTCGTTCTGCCGATGCGCCGTCTAGGTGCGGCTTCTTGCGTGCGTGCGTGCGAGGAGTGCGGACTCAGGCTCATGGGATTGGGCAATGGACCTGATGACACGCCCACTCCGTGCCCAGAGGCACGGTGGCGGACTCGTGCTGGATTGCATCCCTGGGCTTCCCCCGCCCACTCTGTGGGTCGGGGGGCCCGAGTATCCAACACTGGCCTGGGGCGGACGGGGCCCCAGCGTTCTACCGAAGGGCACCCACCACCCTCCGGCAGAGTGTGGCTTTGAAGGAAAGGGGAGGGAACGGACCATCAGCCCTGAGCAGGGCTGGACCCGCCTTGGGAGGAAGCCTCCCAGGACGCGGGGCTGGGGCCACAATGGTTGCCAACTTGCACCCACCTTCCAAGGGCATGGCGGAGCTCGCACTGCACCTGGGAAGGGCATCAAAGCCCCGGACCACAAGGAAGGGGATGGATGATGTAGGGTGATGAGGGAGGAGGACATGTGCGTAAGAGGAGGAAGGAGGGAAGGGGAGAACAATGAAGGAAGAGAGGATGATGATGATTCTGCTGCTGATGATGGTGATGATGATACTGATGCTGATGATGATGAGGATGATGATGCTGCTGATGATGCTGCTGCTGATGACGATGATGATGCTGCTGATAATGATGCTGATGAAGACGATGATGATGGTGATGATGGCGATGCTGCTGCTGCTGATAATGATGCTGATGGAGACGATGATGATGGTGATGATGGCGATGCTGATGCTGATGCTGATGCTGATGCTGATGATGCTGATGATGAGGATGAGGAGCTTGATGATGATTCTGATGCTGATGCTGATGATGATGCTGCTGCTGATGATGATGAGGGCGATGTTGGTGAAGAGGATGAGCATGATAATGATGATGATGCTGATGATAATGATGATGTTGATGATGCTGAGGGTTATGATGATTCTGCTGATGGTGTTGGTGGTCTGATGAAGACGATGATGATGGTGATGATGGCGATGCTGATGCTGATGCTGATGCTGATGCTGATGATGCTGATGATGAGGATGAGGAGTTTGATGATGATTCTGATGCTGATGCTGATGATGATGCTGCTGCTGATGATGATGAGGACGATACTGGTGAAGAGGATGAGCATGATAATGATGATGATGATGATGTTGCTGATGATTATGATGATGATGATGATGATGATGATGCTGATGCTGATCCTGATGATGATGATGCTGATGATGATGAGGACGATGATGAGGATGATGATGATGACGATGATGATAATGATGATAATGATGATGATGATGATGATGATGATGATGTTGATGATGATGAAGACGATGATGCTACTGCTGATGATGCTGCTGCTGATGATGATGCTGCTGCTGATGATAATGCCG